TTTAAAAATTAGGCGGCGTTAAAAAGATATCGAGGGATTTGGCCTATTCTTTGATCAAGCTTAAGGATCAGAGATGACGAAAATTTCTCCATTCGTGATTCGTGGATTTTTAAAGGATTTCGTTCCGTATTTTGTCTGTATTCTTCCAGATCCTTTTTAATCCCCGGTATTTCTCCAAATCGCTCGTAATACTTTTTGCTTTATATATTTCTAAATGTCATCTTTTATTATTTTTGAATAATCATTTTTTAAACAAAGGCAAAACTGAATTTTAAAATTCGTATCATTTCGTGCTTTGATCATTTCATGTGATTGTTCCGTGATTTGGGAAGACCGTATTATGTAGGTCCGTATTTTGGTCATTCCGTAATTTGGTAAAACCTTAGTCCGACAGTGATTTGTCATTCCATGTATTGTCTGTTTCTTGAGTTATCCTAGAACGTTTTATTTTAAAAAGACATTTTCGGGGTTATTTTGTTGTTTATAAAGTACCTTTATTGCTTTCTTACTTTTTTAAATTATAAAACTAAAAATAAAAGCTTAAATTTATTATTCTAACATAAAATGTATAAAAAATTTAATTTCTTTTCTAAGTTTCAAAAACATTTTAGAAATACAGTGACTACTTTATGAAAAATGGGGTGGCGTTTAAAACATCCTACTTCTCTTATTTAAATGATACAACTACTGAAAAAAAAGAAGCATCTCCGAATACAGATCAAAAAGAAGAGAAAAAAGAAGGTGATAAGAAAGATAAAATTCCAACCAAAAAAGAATTGCCGTTCGGAGTAATGCCATTACTTGGTTCTTCAAGTAAATTTTATTTAAAATTTATTTTAATAAAGTCCGTTCTAAATAACCAATAACTCTAATAACTTTTATTTTGATATTAGTGGTGCTTCGAAAAATCCACAAAATTTTCAGTAATACACATATCTATCGATATGAATCCTGAAATTTGAAAAACTTTTTTAAAAATTCACCGAAGTATTTCAATATTAAAAACTCCAATGACTACTGAAGTTTTTGTGGATTTTTCGAAACAGCAATAATATCGAAAATAAAAATGGATGAGTTTATTTAAAAGGCTAGTTTTTTGAATAATATGACATAAATAATTAAAAGTAATTATTTTGAGTAAACTTTTTGCCGTATTACGCGTTAGGCTAAAGTACACTTTACCGGGCGATTTTAGATTTTTATGATTTATATGTCAATCGAAAGAGCTAGGCGAGCTGAGTCGAATGACACCAAAATTAGCCCGCGGACTCAACTATGGACCGAGATATGGGTCCCCAAAAATCGAAAAACCATAGGGGGGACCAAGCACTTTTTTGGGGGTAAAAAATTCGAATATGCAAATTATACCTCATTCGAAAGAGCTCGTCGAGCTGAGTCGAAAAACACCAAAATCAACGAAATCCGACTTAATTTGACAAAGTTATGATCTTTTATTTTAGCTCCTTACCTATGGCATCTGTGGAGATTTTTGCTGCTATGGAGGCCCCAAATACGTCCAGAGCAAGGGATTTAGGAATAGGTTTATGTTACGAGCCCAGACCCAGCGCCCGTAGACTCCCCGCGAGGCGCGTGCCGCAAAACCCCGCGCGAAGCGCGGGGTTTTGCACAAGCGCCTCGCCTACGCTCCATAGGTTTAGGTTTTAGTTTTTCTATCGTAACTTTGTCCAAACTTGTCCAATCACGGTGATTTTGGTGTTTTTCGACTCAGCTCGACGAGCTCTTTCGAATGAGGTATAATTTGCATATTCGAATTTTTTACCCCCAAAAAAGTGCTTGGTCCCCCCTGTGGTTTTTCGATTTTTGGGGACCCATATCTCGGTCCATAGTTGAGTCCGCGGGCTAATTTTGGTGTCATTCGACTCAGCTCGCCTAGCTCTTTCGATTGACATATAAATCATAAAAATCTAAAATCGCCCGGTAAAGTGTACTTAGGCCACGCGTTATATAATAATGCGACGTATTGCGAAATTTTTTAAAATTTTAACAACTTTAGAAAAATTATCTCAAAAAATTGGGGTGGATGAGGTTATTTGGAACGGACTTTATAAAGAATAAACCCAAAATATAATCGGTTTTAAAACCCTCGTGGGAAGGTACGCCTTGCACAAATCGTATTAAAATATGGTGTAATATCTATTAAGGGGATAGCTTAACTTTACGCTATTTAATCGAACAAATTATCAGCGTATTCAATAAGACCTTTCCGCTGAAAGATAATTAATAATCATATTAAAAGTAAATGATTAAATCAGAATATATAAATTTTTGCCGGGACACGCCCCAGGTACCCATTTTTGCCATCCTTAATTGTCGTAAAAATTATGGTGCATGTATCCAAAATTCAACATATTTAATCTAAACAGGGGTTATTTATGAGTGGGTATTCAAAATCTAGGTCCGACTATAATTTGAATCATTTAAATTTAACTAATTTTTCAGTTCAAAATGGTAAAGTCATTGGTGTTGTTCATGCTGTGTCGGTGGGAGTTTCTAAACATCCAGTATCAGACGAAGAGTTTGCTCCTGGAGCCACTAAAGAACTTAGAACGTGTGCTTTTATAGCTAAGGCTTGTGCTGAACGGATCTGCGAACTTCGTGGAATTCCATTTACTCAGGATGACAGAGAACGCTATTTTTATGAATTCGACCCCGTACGTTTAAATTTATTTTTCTAGCACTAAACATGGTCCTACCTTTTTGAGATTATTAAAAAAATATATCATGGGGTTAAAAACTAACTTCCGGCAGTATCCTCCGCATTCCTTCAAGATAGAGCCAAAAAATTTTTAGAGTTTCTGTGTACTCTTTTTAATACTAACATTAAAAAACAAAAAATAAAAGCAAAGGCGAAAAAAGAAGGAATCTTGTAGTTTTGGCCTATGAATCTTTGATTTTTAGATTAAAGAACTACATTTCCATCTAGGTTTCGACCTCAGTTAAAATCTGCCCATCAATGATATTATTAATCTGTTAAGGTATACCTCGGGTTTTTCGCACAAGTCCGAATTTTGGTCTCTTACGTCTGCAATAATGCCCACAATAGTGTGTTTATTGGTACTTATTTACTTCCCCCTCCCCCGTCAATTTTTTCGGTGATATGTTTTAAGGGGTCTGTATCGGTACTTATTTAGTTCCCCCCCCCCAGTCAGTTTTTTCGAAAAATATGTAAAAATGGTCAGTCTGAACAACAATTGTAGAACCCATCGAGCTGTGTCAAATGACACCAAAATCAACAAAATCCGACTTGATTGGACCGAGTTACAGACCCTAGAACCACTGGGGCGTAAAATCTTATGGACGAGAATTTAGGCCGTATATGAAATGAATGCGGCAATCAAATTTTTTCCTTATTCTTAAAAATGGTTAATTTTCTTATATTTTTCTCTCTATTTCTGATAAGTGCCTTAAGACAATAACCGCAAAAGGATTATTTTTCTTTAACTTTAGCATTTACTTTTTTTCTGTCCGATGTGTGTGCGTGTTTTGTCCGTCCGAATTAATTCGTGTTTTGTCTGTCTGTCCGAGTTCGTCCGTGTTTTGCTGTCCGTCCGAGTTAATTCGTGTTTTGTCTGTCTGTCCGAGTTAGTTCGTGTTTTGTCTGTCCATGTCCGTCCATTTCGCCCATGGTTTGTCTGTCCGTGTACGTCTGTATTTTGTCTGTCTGTCCGAGTTAGTCCGTGTTTTTCTGACGAACTCGGACAGACAAAACACGCACACACATCGGACAGAAAAAAAAGTAAATGCTCACAAAGTTAAGGAAAAATAATCCTTTTGCGGTTGTATGTAGTTCGCGGTATTTCCCCTACGGCATAAATCAAATATAGAGAGAATTATATTGAAAAATTGACCATTATGGGGAGTAGGAAAAAATTTGATTGCCGCATTCATTTCATATACGGCCAGAATTTATACAAATGATAGCTCATTCGAAAGAGCTTTTCGAGCTGAGTCGAATGACACCAAAATCAACGAAATCCGACTTGATTTGACAAAAATATGACATAATTCGTCGACTCCGGTAGGTCTAAACAATGTCATAACTTTGTCAAACCGTGTCCGTTTACGTTGATTTTGGTCTCATTCGACTCAGCTCGACGAGCTCTTTCGAATGAGCTATCATTTGTATAAAATCCAGTACCTATAATTTTACGCCCCAGTGGTTCTAGGGTCTGTAACTCGGTCCAATCAAGTCTGATTTTGGTGTCATTCGACACAGCTCGATAGGTTCTACAATTGTTGTTCAGACTGACCATTTTTACATATTTTTCGAAAAAACTGACTGGGGGGGGGGGGGAACTAAATAAGTACCGTCTGTATCTCGGTCAAATCAACTCGTTTTTTTATTTTTGTCATTAAACACAGCTCGCCGGGTTCTACAACCTATGACAGATGATCATTAATTGACTGGGGGGAGGAGAGTAAATAAGGTTATGCTATTTTTACTAGCATAATCATTGATTATTTTATTTTAATGTTGATAAAATAATTTTTAATCATATTTAGCTTGAATCTGACAGAAAGGGTCAATCTGGAGGTGTGGCTATCACAATCGCCACTTTATCTAAAATTTTGAAGAGACATCCAGTTAAAGGTGCTTTAATTTGTTTTTATATCATTGGCAAAATTTAAAACCAATTAATATTTTTATTTTCAAATAAATCGGGGTCCGAAAACATCGGTTAAGAAATCTACAATTCGAATATTGTGGGATTCCCCAGGATCCGCCAAACCTATTTTAGATCCATATTTTACTTTACATTCTCTTCCTTCTCATAGAGATTAAATAATCAAGGATTAATCATTGTTAATAAATAATTTGATTTATATAAGGGGGTCATAAAGTAACCTTTTGTTTATTAATCCTTGACCATTTTTAATGAGGGAAAAGGAATGAAAACTCCAATTATAATTTGATTTTATTGTTTTTACATTCTAATTTAGGTCTTTGTACAACTGGACAAATAACAAATTATGGTTTGATGATAAAAGTGGGAGGATTAGCACAAAAAATCAAAGCAGCAAAAGCAATGAATATGGACAAAATTTTGTTGCCCAAAACTATGGAAGAAGATTACAAAAAGTTGAAAGAAAAATATAAGAAAGGAATCAAACCAATCTTTGCGGAAAATATTGATGATGTATTTGATGTTATATTCCCACCTGATGCCCCACCTGTTGCCCCATGATTTTTTTCGATATTTTAAATTTAATTTATTATTGGAAATATAAAAATCATCAAATATAAATTGACAATTAAAAAAGAAGTTAACTAAGCAACGAGAGATTGGGGGGAGTAAAGGGATTGGTTGAGGGGCAACTCAAGGAATTCCAAATCACGAAATAGATATGTCAAGGAATGACAAGTCTTGTGAGGCCTTGACGAAATTTTCTGTACCCAAAGGTACAGAAGATTTGATTTTTTATTATTTTATTAAACTGAAAATAAAGATTTTTTTCTCTGGAAAAAGGTTTTGGTTATTCCGTGAGTAGGTCGTTCTTTACTTGTCTGTGTGAGTTAGTATCAGGGTTGCCGCGGGTACAAAAAATCTTCGGGTACGGGTTTCGGGTATCGGGTTGGAGCGTTTTCATTTCGGGTTTCGGGTTGGCAAAAATATCGGGTACGGGTTTCGGGTTATGAAATTTTCATTTCGGGTATCGGGTTTCGGGTTGGCAAAAATTTCGGGTACGGGTTTCGGGTTTGGCAAAAAATATCGGGTACGGGTTTCGGGTGTTAGTGTATTGGTGTACTAAATTGTAAGAGACAAGCTATATTGCATGATAGGATTTTGGGTGATATAGAGAAGGGCAAATTTGAAGAGATTAAAGAGACATTGTAGGATTTGGGGATTAAGAGGGATATCTAGGTAAAATCCCACCCTAATAAAATCCCACTATATAGTAATATTTCTCCGCTTTATCTCCATTAAAGCCTCAAAATTTCTTCCTTTTTTCACCGCCGGAGGCGAAAATTTTGTAAAATTCATGACTAAATTAAAATTTCTAATCCACCCCTATGAAAATATCGAGCCAGTCGACTAACCCATTCAACCACCGATCAACATAATAAAAATGTTGAAAAAATTATAAATATTTCCTTTTATTTTCCTTCTTTCTCTTTTAGAATTTTTTAAATTTATTTTAAAAAATCGGGTAAGGCTAAATTTTCGGGTAGAAATTTCGGGTTTTAACCAATTCCGGGTCACGGGTTTCGGGTTGGAAAAAATATCGGGTACGGGTTTCGGGTTGGAAAATTTTCGTTTCGGGTATCGGGTTTCGGGTACAAAAAAAGGCCGGGTTTCGGGTTTCGGGCGGCAACCCTGGTTAGTATGTTCCGTGAGTTGTCCGTAACTGGACTTTTCGTTCCTTGATTTGTCTGTTAGTTGAGTTAGCCCATCACGAAGGGATTAGGTTATTGAATTTAATATAATTTTTGCAAACCTGTAATTATGAAAAAATCATATTTGATAATCATAAATTTATGATACCATATGATAAATCCGATATCAAATTTGAACAACTGATATACTTGGTAATTTTATTTAAGAGAATAGGCAAATTATTCTCTAAGTTTAGAAGCAAAAATAAAGATCCATGTTCTAAGATTGCGCCCCAAGTTAGTCCATCGCTTATTTTAGTCGTGTTCCGCAATATTTATTCGGCGGTTTTTTCAGCTAGCAGTTATAAGTGTAGCAAACATTGGATATAGTATAGTTTACCGGTGGAAAGGTACCCATACCATTCGATTCGTCTCGACTAGCAGAGTCGAACGGTACCACTTTTTTTCCGGAGATGCCTGGGCCGAGATATAGGTCCCCGAAAATCGAAAAACCATAGGGGGTAGTAAGCACATTTTTAGGGTAACATTTACTATTAACTTTCAAGAGAAATACATGCAGAATTAATGTTTATTTTTGTAAGAATTTCTAGTTTATATTCAATAGAAAACGGGTCCTATATGAAATTAGGCCCTATATAAAACAGGCCCTATGAAATTACTTTTTTCATTACTTTTTTCCTTCCTTAATACGACATACTAATCAGAATTTTCTTCCTTATTCAATTCCAGCATATTTGCCTGTGGCATAATCAAATGAGAAATGTTAAAAAAAGGATTAATGGAAAGGAGAACGTCTAAATGCAGGCAAATACCTAACTTTCAATGGTGAGGAGCAACCAGAGCTGCGTCGAAATTTCGATTTTCGACTTTCGATTTTCGACGTTTTTTTCTAACGATTTCCAATTTTTGAATTTTTTATAAAATTTCGATTTTCGATTTTTTTTACAAAATTGCATTATCTTTTCTCTTAAGATTTTATTCCTACGGTGCCAAAAAATGAAGAAATTTGGCTACTTGGCCTTCCAAAATATAGCTAAACTATTATAACTAAACTATTAGGATACAGAAATTATAACTAAACTATTAGGATACAGAAATTAGTTTTAAATTTAATTATTAAAAATTATTTAAATAAAATACATTTAAAAATAAATAAAAGAATAAAAAAATTTATTATATAAAATCTAAAAAATTTATAAAATATAGAATATAAAAATAATGTATAAATACTATTTTGATAAATAAAAAATAACTAAACTATTAGGATACAGAAATTAGTTTTAAATTTAATTATTAAAAATTATTTAAATAAAATACATTTAAAAATAAATAAAAGAATAAAAAATTTATTATATAAAATCTAAAAAATTTATAAAATATAGAATATAAAAATAATTTATAAATAATACTTTGATAAATAAAAAATAACTAAACTATTAGGATACAGAAATTAGTTTTAAATTTAATTATTAAAAATTATTTAAATAAAATACATTTAAAAATAAATAAAAGAATAAAAAATTTATTATATAAAATCTAAAAAATTTATAAAATATAGAATATAAAAATAATGTATAAATAATATTTTGATAAATAAAAAATAACTAAACTATTAGGATACAGAAATTAGTTTTAAATTTAATTATTAAAAATTATTTAAATAAAATACATTTAAAAATAAATAAAAGAATAAAAAATTTATTATATAAAATCTAAAAAATTTATAAAATATAGAATATAAAAATAATTTATAAATATTTTGATAAATAAAAAATAACTAAACTATTAGGATACAGAAATTAGTTTTAAATTTAATTATTAAAAATTATTTAAATAAAATACATTTAAAAATAAATAAAAGAATAAAAAATTTATTATATAAAATCTAAAAAATTTATAAAATATAGAATATAAAAATAATTTATAAATAATATTTTGATAAATAAAAAATAACTAAACTATTAGGATACAGAAATTAGTTTTAAATTTAATTATTAAAAATTATTTAAATAAAATACATTTAAAAATAAATAAAAGAATAAAAAATTTATTATATAAAATCTAAAAAATTTATAAAATATAGAATATAAAAATAATTTATAAATATTTTGATAAATAAAAAATAACTAAACTATTAGGATACAGAAATTAGTTTTAAATTTAATTATTAAAAATTATTTAAATAAAATACATTTAAAAATAAATAAAAGAATAAAAAATTTATTATATAAAATCTAAAAAATTTATAAAATATAGAATATGAAAATAATGTATAAATAATATTTTGATAAATAAAAAATAACTAAACTATTAGGATACAGAAATTAGTTTTAAATTTAATTATTAAAAATTATTTAAATAAAATACATTTAAAAATAAATAAAAGAATAAAAAATTTATTATATAAAATCTAAAAAATTTATAAAATATAGAATATAAAAATAATTTATAAATAATATTTTGATAAATAAAAAATAACTAAACTATTAGGATACAGAAATTAGTTTTAAATTTAATTATTAAAAATTATTTAAATAAAATACATTTAAAAATAAATAAAAGAATAAAAAATTTATTATATAAAATCTAAAAAATTTATAAAATATAGAATATAAAAATAATTTATAAATAATATTTTGATAAATAAAAAATAACTAAACTATTAGGATACAGAAATTAGTTTTAAATTTAATTATTAAAAATTATTTAAATAAAATACATTTAAAAATAAATAAAAGAATAAAAAATTTATTATATAAAATCTAAAAAATTTATAAAATATAGAATATAAAAATAATTTATAAATAATATTTTGATAAATAAAAAATAACTAAACTATTAGGATACAGAAATTAGTTTTAAATTTAATTATTAAAAATTATTTAATTAAAATACATTTAAAAATAAATAAAAGAATAAAAAATTTATTATATAAAATCTAAAAAATTTATAAAATATAGAATATAAAAATAATTTATAAATAATATTTTGATAAATAAAAAATAACTAAACTATTAGGATACAGAAATTAGTTTTAAATTTAATTATTAAAAATTATTTAAATAAAATACATTTAAAAATAAATAAAAGAATAAAAAATTTATTATATAAAATCTAAAAAATTTATAAAATATAGAATATAAAAATAATTTATAAATAATATTTTGATAAATAAAAAATAACTAAACTATTAGGATACAGAAATTAGTTTTAAATTTAATTATTAAAAATTATTTAAATAAAATACATTTAAAAATAAATAAAAGAATAAAAAATTTATTATATAAAATCTAAAAAATTTATAAAATATAGAATATAAAAATAATTTATAAATAATATTTTGATAAATAAAAAATAACTAAACTATTAGGATACAGAAATTAGTTTTAAATTTAATTATTAAAAATTATTTAATTAAAATACATTTAAAAATAAATAAAAGAATAAAAAATTTATTATATAAAATCTAAAAAATTTATAAAATATAGAATATAAAAATAATTTATAAATAATATTTTGATAAATAAAAAATAACTAAACTATTAGGATACAGAAATTAGTTTTAAATTTAATTATTAAAAATTATTTAAATAAAATACATTTAAAAATAAATAAAAGAATAAAAAATTTATTATATAAAATCTAAAAAATTTATAAAATATAGAATATAAAAATAATTTATAAATAATATTTTGATAAATAAAAAATAACTAAACTATTAGGATACAGAAATTAGTTTTAAATTTAATTATTAAAAATTATTTAAATAAAATACATTTAAAAATAAATAAAAGAATAAAAAATTTATTATATAAAATCTAAAAAATTTATAAAATATAGAATATAAAAATAATTTATAAATAATATTTTGATAAATAAAAAATAACTAAACTATTAGGATACAGAAATTAGTTTTAAATTTAATTATTAAAAATTATTTAAATAAAATACATTTAAAAATAAATAAAAGAATAAAAAATTTATTATATAAAATCTAAAAAATTTATAAAATATAGAATATAAAAATAATTTATAAATAATATTTTGATAAATAAAAAATAACTAAACTATTAGGATACAGAAATTAGTTTAAAATTTAATTATTAAAAATTATTTAAATAAAATACATTTAAAAATAAATAAAAGAATAAAAAATTTATTATATAAAATCTAAAAAATTTATAAAATATAGAATATAAAAATAATTTATAAATAATATTTTGATAAATAAAAAATAACTAAACTATTAGGATACAGAAATTAGTTTTAAATTTAATTATTAAAAATTATTTAATTAAAATACATTTAAAAATAAATAAAAGAATAAAAAATTTATTATATAAAATCTAAAAAATTTA